TCATATAATACAACATGGCATACAAATAAAAACCAAATAATCACAAATTAAGTTAAGATGGAGTATAGCTGTTTTCTCTTGAATTTCGAGCGCTCGTCTGGGAGAGTAACTTCCACATTATTGGGGATGACAGTGAAATAACCTTATGACGGTGTTATGTTTCTAGGACTCCACGAAGCAGGGTACGGGACTGATATTTTTTACCCATTCCGTCACAAGAACTATATGCATGTTTGGCACTATTTTAAAATAGACAGAAATAAATATATGAAACTATAAATAAATATTTATTACAGCTATTGCATTTCAAGATATACCCAAAAATAAATCCTACAAAATATAAATAATATAATGTGTCGTTTCTGTAGGTACTTCAAAGGCTAACACTACCCACGATGGTGATATCACCTTTTGTAAAGGCAAAAACATTCATATTTTAAACATTAATTTGATGTTTTTATAGTTTGATCTAGTGGTGCTACTTCATAAATTTTTCAACACAAGCTTGCCCACTTTAATGTCTAATCAAAATGCTGTACTAATATCGAAAAAAATGACAAAGAGGCATTTTTGTAAAAATAAATATAAATTGGTACTTAGGCGCGAATTTTCAATAGATATAGTTATTTTAGTTTTAGAAATATACCAGCAGCCCTGATTTCCGAGAACCTTCAACCCGATTTCAGTGTTACCTACTGGGCCCTGTTGTAGTCTATTTATGTGCATTCACTCGAATGGACATAAAATATCATCAAAATCGGTCCATCTGTTAAGAAGAAGCTTTATTACATTCACGCGGGCAGAAGCAATTGATATGTGTAAAAAAATGTGTAGGTTGATCAACTTAGGATGACAACTTAAAAAAATATATGCCTTCAGTAATATCCTAACCTTTTCGCAAGTATAACGCTACACTTCGATGTTTCTAATTAAATCACATGACGTAGAACAAGGTCAGGGTTGCAAGAAACTAACATTAGTCTGCAAATCATTGAGTATGCGTATATCTACAAAATTTTACTACTACATACAATTTAAAATACCGGAAATGCGTCATTTTATATTCACCAGCCTGCCTTGAACAGTAGTTCTTCAGCAAAACACATTTAGTCAACGAATAATACATTAGTAACATTGAAATTACCACAAACACCTAAATCCAAGAGTATATAGAAAATAAGTTTGTAGATTGATCCAACCGGGAATCGAAGTCGGTCAGCGATGATGTCGCCATGAAATTCAGTATGCAAATCACTCGAGCACAGGTCGTCAAATAATTTCTTTGAGTTACGGAAATACTCTTCGCATCATATCAGCATGGGACGGAAACAGCATTGCAGCAAATAAATCATTACAACACCACCATCAGCCTGTCGAGTATCAACCCACTGCTGGGACGCAAGCCATCCCTATGGACGAAGATGAGGTCATGACGTAGCAGGCAGTCCCAGTGCGAATAGGCATGAACTGACGACTAAACATGAACAATGGCTTCACGTGCCTTCCGAATCCCGGAGGAACTTGAGCTAAAAATTTTTGTGCCAACCAATCTATTATGACAAGCAATCGCGAAACATGCAACTTACACAAACACAGACCGAATGCTCTAATCTTACCACTGCGCTATCAAGGTAATAAAGATTTTAAGCACGCTAAATTTGATGACGTTTTTGTTTAGTATTAACACTAAAAAACCTTGGGGATCGCACTAAATAATATGTTTAAAATAATTTTACTGCACTAATAGAACGGGTTCCGAATCGTTATCGATAGTCTTGAATTTGAAAGACATACAACATGCAAGAGATACTGCTTGCACCCCTGCACAATAGTGGTATTGATCTAGCATAATCCTATTGTGCAGAGATAAAAGCAGTATCGGATTTTAATTGTTCGCATGAACCAGAATTCGAAACAAACATTTTAAACAAAACCATAGACATTGCTATTGTACGTAAATCTCTTTTGTTTGCGACACGTGGTAATATATAACAATTTAATTACAAAAAAACACACTTGTTGAAAATCTGTTAAGCGATAAATTACTACGGCCCATTTGGAGCAATTAAGCTAAATCTCATTTAAACTAAAAGTAGATTTAGTCCATACAATAATGTCAAATTGACGTAATGACATTTTTGTATGTTTCTTTAAGTTTTAGTTAAATTGAGAATTAGCACCTTGGTTCTAATGGGCCTTGATTTTTAAAACAAAAAGATATCGAAAATACGTGGAACTACTAGGATTATACTAATTAAACTAAACTTTGTTGCATTAAAAATATGAATTTATTTCAATCAAATTATGCTAAGTCATTACATGTATTTGTGTTTATTTTAGAAATACATGTATATATATATAACATATAGTTAAGCGGCCAGAAAAAGAGGCATTGACAGACAAATGTATAAATTATTACTTTTAATTTTTTATATTATAAATAATATAAAAATGCAATTGTCAGAACTGCACCTTGTTATTTTAACTCAAAACTAGATTCGAAACGTTGCTTTCCGTCGCGATAGCCGCTTCAGCAACTTCTGATTATATCATAAATTTTTACGTACTTAACCATTATTAAGACTTCTGACAATTTATATACAGGTTCGATAAGCTACAAATAATATGAAAATGCATTTGTCAGAACTGCACCTTGTGGTTTAAATTTAAACAATTTTTACAACTTTGGCGACTTCTGACAGTCTTTAAGCCCCAACCTAGACTTCTGACAACAATTTTCCTAGATTCCTACAGTTAAAAATTACAACTCTACCAAATTTCAGAACTGCACCTAATCATTTTTTTCTTATTGAAATTTTACGACATTGACCGCCCACCCACGCCTTCCGCCCCGGGAGAGAGTTCTGACGGGCCTCGCTCTGTACTTATAGGCTACCAAGGGGAGGTTATATATATAATTCGTTACTGCACCTTATCAGTTCACATTTATGTAGCCAGCTCTTAGACCCCAAGGATAGTAGACATTACTCATGTCCGCGTGGAGGTATCAAACTAAAATTCATATTTTATACTTTAGATATGAATTTCAGTATCCTTTCAGTTCCTGAGAAAAAGGGCCTTGACAGACGGACGGACGGACAACAAAGTGATCCTATTAGGGTTCCGTTTTTTCCTTTTGAGTTACAGAACCCTAAAAAAAGGTTTGGTTTTATGGAACCACGATGCAAGTGAAACTTTAAAAACATTTACCAAAAAAGTGCTTCCTTAGGATGGTATTCGAACCCAGAACGTCCGCGTATCAGGCGAGCTTTCTTCCACTGAACCACCGACGCTCGTCGATAAGATCTGACTTTTTAATAACAATTCAAACTGTAATGCGACATGCTTAAAATGAACGAAACATTTGTGGCGATGTTAAAAAGTTACACTTTAAAATAAGAATAATAATAAGTGCCTATCACTTACTGAATGTGAGGGAAGGTATTTCCAGATCGGGCGCAAGCAGTCGTGAAGCACAACCGGCGGCCGCGTAAACCAATTCCATCTCTAAGGCTACGAGGCCCTGCTTTTGGGTTGTGAACGGCGAGTCCTCGTAGCCGACGCACAAACAGCGGTATCCGAAACGGTTGTCTTCGCTGTTAGCAATCAGAGAGTAATATATAGGATGCCCCAAAAATTTACCACATGGAAGAAAGTACCTTAAATACTGTAAATAGAAAGTGTCGCTGAAGGAAGACTCCATTTTTAATTTTAAAAACAATACGAACCGCATTCAAAGAATTAAAAAAGAAACGCCTATTCAGACCGATACTTCAAAATGTTGATCAGATTAATCGTGCTTGTTACAATTGCCTTAATGATGGTATGTACGCCGGGTTTCAAGGTGTCGCCTACTCTAGAGGTCCCGAGATCAAATCTCGGTGGGGGCAGATGTTTTGGATTTTAGGTGGGGTGAGCCCAACATTTGACAAAGTTTTGAGACATATCTGGCTCAAGATAAATAGTGTTTATTATGTCGTAAGAGGATACGTTCTTGGGTATTCTCTGTCAGTAAATATAGCTTTATGTTAAATTATAGAGACTGGAATATGCCAGTAAAACTATGTATATCATCATAAACATCATTCTTTTAATGTCCCCATTGATTGTTCGGGCACAGGCCTTCCCTATGGATGGAATAGGGCGGAGAAAGAATGAAGTTTACTTTCAATGAAACAATAAACAAGGGAAGATAGTTGTCTTAAGACATGAAATGCGCCCTCAGTATTACGAATCAAAGAGTTTTCCTCTGATTTCTGATAATGTAATGTAAACAGGCAATGCAAATAATAAAACACGGAATTAATTTCAATTACAAGAGTGCTATCATAAGATAAGGATACAAATTGAATACTAATTTAAAAACAGTGATTACTCATATAATTTATTGCAAATGTTTATTTTAATGATATCATATGACGTGGGCTCGTTATTGGCTGTACTCACCTATTTGTTTTGTTGTATTCATTGAGATAATCCGACGCTGTTTCCAAAGAGAAAATTACTTCGTTTCCAGGAACTATGAAAGCAGGTGGAGGCCAATCAGCGGCGCTTTAAAAAGAAGAACAAAATTGATTATGAACAATCACGGATATTTTCTACAGTAAAAATATTTATACAACCAGCAGCCACCCGCGACTCCGTCCGTGTATAATTTAGCTTTTTTGGAAGTCCACGAGTACCTAACATTATTCGGATAAAAAGTATCCTTTTTCTCAATCCAAGTAATAAACTATATGCTTACCAAATTTCAACCCAAACCGTTCAGCAGTTTTCGCGTGGTTGAATAACAATCATAGAAACTTTCAAATTAGTAGGATGACCTGGGAAACTTGAAAAGCGTCAAGTATCTTGAGTATCATTGTTTAGGTACAGAACAATTAAAACGAATTTTATTTTTGATGATATTAAGATACCTATATCCTAATTTTGAAGAAGTTTAAACACAAAAGGTATTGTAAATAGTTTTTTGAAATCCAATAGAAAGTGTGAGGAACATCTTACTTGTTGGATAACTTAGGCGTAACGCTGAAGTAGGTACAGTTGTAGTGCATGCACGCCGTGTCAGATTCGTCGTCGCACAACTCTTCCGCTTCACCGGACTCCGATGACAATTGTACTAGGCGCTGTGGAATCGAGTTAATGCTTTATGACATGTAAATTTGCACGAAACAATAAGGCAATTAAGAGGTAAATAATCAGTTTAAAATGAGATATTTTTAGATAACGATATAAAATTAAACTTTATTTTACTACATATTTTTAATTTATGGATATATAGATATTAGATATGTAAAAGTACAAAGCTTGAGTGAATACTTTAAACGAAATGAGTAAGTAGCAACACTAAAAAAGGTAACATAGGACTAAGGAAGAGAGAAGGAGAGTGAAGCATGTAGGTAAATCAAAATGTTATTGTTTGCCAAAAGGAATTGCATACTTTAATTTAAAGACTGTGGTGGGAAGAAGCTGCCCTTGTAGCGCTTATCTTTCTATGACGTCTCCTTTCATATTTGACCATGATCTGTTTTATCAGAATCATAAACCACTTTATAATTGGAAAATCTTCTATTTTATATTTGAGTCAAAGTAACTTTTTTGTACTCGATTTTGCTGGCGACAGTGGGATACAACACAAAAGTGTACATCGTTGAAGATATTGTTGAAGGACAAGTACCCGGGTGTGTGGGACGAGAGAACGAGCCCGCTACCTTGTATACCTTGCGGACGGGCGGGTCCATGAGGCGGGCCTCGTTGGCGCAGTGGCAGCGTCGCCGCGGCGGGCCCACGGACGCGTACACTGACAGCATGTCCCGGGCCGAGTGCTGGGTGTGTGGGACGAGTGGACGAGCCCGCTACCTTGTATACCTTGCGGAAGGGCGGGTCCATGAGGCGGGCCTCGTTGGCGCAGTGGCAGCGTCGTCGCGGCGGGACCACGGACGCGTACACTGACAGCGTGTCCCGGGCCGAGTGCCGGGTATGTGGGACGAGTGAAGAAGCCCGCTACCTTGTATACCTTGCGGAAGGGCGGGTCCATGAGGCGGGCCTCGTTGGCGCAGTGGCAGCGTCGCCGCGGCGGGCCCACGGACGCGTAGACTGACAGCATGTCCCGGGCCGAGTGCTGGGTGTGTGGGATGAGTGGACGAGCCCGCTACCTTGTATACCTTGCGGAAGGGCGGGTCTATGAGGCGGGCCTCGTTGGCGCAGTGGCAGCATCGCCGCGGCGGGACCACGGACGCGTAAACTGACAGCATGGCCGTGGGCCGAGTGCTGGGAGTGTGGGACGAGTGGACGAGCCCGCTACTTTGTATACCTTGCGGAAGGGCGGGTCCATGAGGCGGGCCTCGTTGGCGCAGTGGCAGCGTCGCCGCGGCAGGCCCACTGACGCCTACACTGACAGCGTGTCCCGGGCCCAGTGATGAGTGTGTGGGACGAGTGAACGAGCCCGCTACCTTGTATACCTTGCGGAAGGGCGGGTCCATGAGGCGGGCCTCGTTGGCGCAGTGGCAGCGTCGCCGCGGCGGGCCCACGGACGCGTAAACTGTCAGCGTGTCTTCGGGCTGGGCGGTGATGCAGCGCCGGTCCATTTCTATCACCACCCATGCCACGTTCGGCGGAAACAACACCCTGGCGAAAAATTTATGTAGTTCGAATGCAAAATTCCTGGTTTATAAAACAAAAAATACACTTCTGGACACATCTATTGGCCCACCTTGTATTTTCAGTTTCGTTTGGTCCTAGCTAAAATTTTATATTAGGTCGAGCAAAAAGTATTTATGCAGTTTTGAACCTGGCACATTCACAATTTCATTCAATAGTCTTTTTTTGAATTTCGAACACAGAATTTAAAGAAACAAAAGACAATTTGGAGCCTGTTTGTTGATATCAAACAATCGAATACTAAGAAAACTTGGTCTTATTGGTTTACTTGGATTTAATTCTTTAAAAAGTGATTGGTTTGGTTTTGCAACAAACATTACTAATTCTTAACATTAAGGTGAGGTTCTATCAATAATCTATGGATACTTCACCTGAAGTCGCCGCCCAAGCTGTGGCACTTATTCAGGCCGGACACAGCCAAAGAAACGTGAGTGCTCAACTTAATTTAAGTCGATCTGCGGTTCGAAATGTTTATCGGGGGTACCTAGAGACTGGCGGCTTTGTTCGTCGCCAAGGAAGGCCACGATCTCGGGTCACAACTGAAAGGCAGGACCGATTCATCATCAGCTTGAGAAATCGTCACCTTACCTCCATTGAGATACAAAAAAAAATGATAAGCGACTTCCACGGAGTATCTGTGAGCGCTCGAACTGTTCGAAGAAGGTTAAAAGAACGAGATATGGTACCACACAAGCCAGCTAATGGGCCCAAACTAACGCGAGCCCACCGAACAGCGCGCCTTCATTTTGCACGCAGTCATTTAAAATGGACACAGCAAGATTGGAGCCGTGTACTATTTTCTGATGAGTCTAAAATTGTGTTACATGGCAATGATGGAAGGAAGAAGGTCTACCGACGTAAGGGAGAGCGTTTCGCACAATGCTGCTTTGAAGAGAGGGTTGCTTATGGCGGTGGCTCATGGACTGTTGGGGCGGTATATCCGCGAGCGGCAAAACTCAACTTGAGGTTGTTACAGGACCACGGCTGCCAACATTAAATGCTGAAAGGTACATTCGTGAGTGCTTAGAACCTCACGTGATACCATACGCGGACTATGTGGGCCCAAATTTCCTTTTTATGCATGATAATGCAAGAGCCCATGCGGCCGGCATCTTCAGGGAATATCTTCGGGATGTGAACATCACAGTTATGGACTGGCCAGCCAGAAGCCCAGACATGAACCCCATTGAGCACATGTGGGACGAGCTAAAAAGACGTGTTAGGGCTCGTCAGCCAGTTGCCCAGACGATGCAAGATTTGAAAACTGCCATAGAAGAGGAATGGGAGATGATCCCTCAAAATTTCATAGAGCGGTTGATAAACTCTATGCCTAATCGTATGAGAGCTGTGGTAGATGCCCATGGAGGCAACACGCGTTATTAAATTAAACCTTTATTTGATAAAACATGTTTTTTATTCAAAAATCAATTGCCTTTAACAAGGCGCATATCCGACTTGTTAGGCGTAGCTCCATGTCGTATGGTATTCTGAATTCAAATTTAAAACAATACGATCGAAAAAGATGGTAAAATGTATCAGGTTTAAAACTGCATCAACAGTTTTTGTTCAATCTAGCAATCATATTTCGGTAGAGGCCATCGAAACCTAAACTCTAAGGTGGGCCAATAGATGTGTCCAGAAGTGTATATATCCAACACTCACACCAAATACGAGTAGCTTGCGATGCGATTATGACCTCATTCATGGAAGTCAACAACTTAAAGTTTAGGCTAAAGTTGATTCTATCACTTTCTTTGCAATAACAATAGAATGAGCCAACGCGACTAATGAGAAATTTAATAAATATGACATTTTTGAGTGCGTGTCAATCTATAATAATACCGTACAAAACTAACCTGACGTTGGACACGGTGGCCTGCTTGTAAGGATGATCGCTCTCCACCCAGGTGTAATACTGTCCTGTGGTGGAAGGCATTGGTTCCTCTGCCGTTGGCATAAGGAGATTCATGGCAGCGACATGAGGCATTAACGTATTCACCATCTCTAGTAACGTTATCATGCTCTGAAAATATTTGGGACGATAACGACTAACTGTAAAAATGCTAGCTTTTCTACACACATAGGTACACTTGTTGGCAAAGATGTTTCTTAGAGAAGAGAGAGACTACTACTATCAAATATCTTTCGCTTTCTTTCAATTGAACAGCTTCTGCACGCATGCCTGTTAGATATATTATACTGATTGACTATGTTGCTTTGAAGCACAGCGGAGGTTATCTCATAGATATAGAAATTCGACTGAGCGAACTTTGTTTAACTGTAAAACTGGGTAGATAGTGAGAGCGAGGAAGCGCTCGTTCAGCCAGTAGTTCGAATAGGCACTATCACTTTCTCTCTTACTGAAGGGTTGTCAATTTCATGTAACTGTCGCTCAGTCTTTTCTCTAACGATCAGTTTCAATAATCAAACTCCAGCAAGAGGTATACCTACAGAGCTTTTGCAACTGTTGCAAAGAAACGGAACCAGATTATCCTTACCTTTTACTAGATGTTGATTATTGAAATTAGCCGTAAGTCTATGGTAATCCTACTAAATTGCTCAGTTCGTTTATTAAAGTGCTGAATAATAACTATGTACCTTAGAATCGTCCAATTCTGACAGATGTGCGATAGTGTAAGGCACCAATGCACTGACGCAAGCAGATTGTTGAAGTACCGCTGCGTTCCTTCTCAAGTCCTCGGTGGTCAGTTCGTTTCTTAACGTGCAGAATAACTCGGCACATCGGTCTACCACCATTGATCCAACACGCAGTGTGATCCCACGTAATTCTGTTATCAAGGTATCAGCGCTTTCTGATGAGTTCTGAGGCAACGTTGACCTATTGGATTGAGAAAAAGAATTTTGGTATTTAAAACATGGATGCTGTATGATGGGTTTTGTTTTTCAAAGCATATGTTTTACTGTAAGGCGCTGAACAAAAGCTGATGGTATGACTTTCGTAGTTATTATATTTTTAAAGAAAGCTTGTGAAGCTATTGTATAGCTTTTATCGCAGGGTTTGAGCGCGGCGTCCGAATCAAGAATTTCGTTCGACGCATCACCGTGGTCGTCGGTTCAAATCCTGCACTCGTATTTTGATTTTTTTATTATTATGTTTTACCTTTTTTATATATTTGTTTTAAACCCAACAGCTGCTGCCTGTTCTTATTTTTATTTGTCTCCCTTTCATTTAGACTTTATAATTATAATTTAAATTTTTTGACTAAAGATGTAAAAAAGTAAACTGTGGAACTTGTGGGGAGCTTGCTTTTTGGTGCGGGCAATGGTGTTGTTTGCTGTGCTTGCCCAATAAAATATAATAAGGCCTGCCTCGCCATCCCGGAAAAGTCGCGCAAGGACTGGATATGCCCGAACTGCAAGAACGCAGGGGTGACAACGCGCAATCGCCTGTAAAGGGTATCAGCGAATCTTCAGAGCCCGAAAAACCGGTTGCTGTACGTGAACCTGTCGAGCTGGCCAGTGGCTCTCCAAAGGAAGATGAGGTCCAGGAGAAGGCCAAGGAGAACGCCGCAAGAACTAATCACACCAGTAGCATAAAAAGTATACTGGCCGACTGCATGAAGAAGATGAGGGAATTCCGCTCGGAGATGGCGGCCTTCCGCAATTCTTTTACCGATCGACTTGACTCCTTCGAGTAGAGAATTGCAGTGTTGGAGCAGCATCGAGGGGATCCTGATGCAACTGGTAGGATGGACTTGGAGCGCACCATATCCGAGCTGCGCGCCGAGGTTAACGACCGCGATCAGGAAGCGTTGATGTCCGACCTGGAGATCGGCGGGTCAGCGTGGAGCAGAGCGTCACTATGCTGGCCGTGCGGCTGGGAGTGACTCTCGACAGGTGGTGTTCGCGGAGTGTATGGGCGCGCCGCCCGCCGAGGCGCGGGGCCGGCCGTGCCGTGTGGTGGTGCGCCTGGACGACCTCTTAACGGCCGCGCGTGTGCGCCGCAGGGTCACTGTTGCGGAGGGTCACGGATTCGGAGGATGGCACCCCGGACACCGCTGATGAGGGCGACCCACCGGGCACCGCCGTGGGGGCGGCGCTCGGATCTACACCAACGAGCACCTCACGCGCGCCAACCGCCAGTATCAACTAACGCTGAGGCAGGGTCCTGGTTAGCCCTTACTGTATGACATGTAGTATTTTTTAAGGGTTTATAAAAATTATTTTATTTCTTTCTTTCTTTTAACACTCCCGACTCCGACCGGCACAGCGGTGCGAAGTTGGAAGCCGTGCATCGTCTAACGTCGTTTCAGTTCGGCAGACTTGGGACGGTGTTCGTGTGCGTGCGACTAGACGTATGCGTGTAGACTAGCTGCTAACTACTCATAACTGATTCTATCTCTTTTAGACACAATGCTAGATGAGACAGCGTGCTTTTTGGCCGCATCCACGAGTGAGTTCGAGCCCGCGACTTGTTGAATCTTAACGTGCATGTATATGGTACGACTGTACGAAGCTCGCATGTAAGATTATAAAAATATTTTAAACAAATTTAACTTTTCATTTATACAATAAAATAAAAAAAATGATTTCTTATCGGTCACCATGCTCAAAAAGTGTAACTTGAATTAATAATAAAGAAAAAACTTGAATTATTATCAAAGAAAAAGAACTGCAAAAATAAATAAGTATAATTGCATAAGTTGATAAAAAATGCTCTGCAATAGCTTTGTCGCGGCAGTCCCCGAGTGCCACACGTATTTTTTTTTTATAAAAGTATCGGTAGGACAATTTTATTTTTTACATTTGCGGTACACAACTTTTGATTATAATAATGACAGGAAAAATACACACATGAACTGGGTAAAAGACTTATTGTTGCAACTCACCCGTAGTAAATAAAACAGGGTATTTGCCCCCTGGCCATTGAAGTTCCGTTGATGCTCAGTGAGCAGGAAGCGAACCGGAAGGTAGTTCCATCAGGGCCTTTCACTGACGGAAGGCCGCAGTCCCCATTCGCCGTCCGACCACCGTGATTACATAGGCGAATAGCGTAACGAAGATCCTCCTAAGATAATATTTTAATGTGTAGATTTACCGGAATTGACGAAGATTTTTCACTTATTTGCTAATGTTAAAAAAAAGATTTATTGTTTCTAATAAAAAGTCTACATGGATGGTTTGATATTTGTTAAAACATTATACATAATTTCTGATATAAATACCCAAAAGAAGTGACCATAAGAGGAACAAATCTAAAAACGTTATAAGATTAATACGACGCCATAAATATTACTTATATATCACGTTCATAATCAATAAAACAATTGACAGTTGCATCGCTGAAAAAAGGCATGTTATGCACCGTCTGAAACTTGGTCTGAATGGAAAGGCTTACCTTTAATGCGACCGGCCGTTCGAATTTTAGCTGCACCATGTCATGTTGGCAATCGGCGGTACAAAAAGTTCCCTGTGTCACTTCGACGCTCACCCAACAATGACCAGGGTCAGTCTCTTCGGCTGTAGCTCGTAACTGTACCAAGCATCGTATAATATCATTCGTCTATCCAAACCTTATTGGAGTCAATAAGATAAGCAACAACCTTGATGTTGTTGCTTACCTTACCGTTGAGGCATTACACAGCTATAAAGCTAATGTAGAATGATTTTAAATAAAAATTAATGATATTTTATGATGGTTCTTAAACAAACTAATCCCATCAAGAAATAAATACGAATGTACAAACAAGGATAATCAAAAAGAAGTACACCTGTAAGATCACTTTTTAGTGTAACTGAAGATACTTATGATTAGTCGAATATCCACATAATTTTATACAGTATTAAAAACACTGTTCGTTCGTAACATAGATTGAGTGTAAGAATAAAGTTCATTCACGCACCCGTAAGTCCTGCAGCAGTTCCAAAGTGTATTCATAATGACCCAAGCCGCCGTAAGCACAGACGCCCACTAACATCACTCCAGGTCTGTCCACAGTAAAGCAGACGGCGTCTGGACTGCCGTTACCAGTGTGCCATGCCCGGGATTGATTCACACGCATAAACCGAGACGGCGTGATTTGATGTTTCACCAAGTTCGTATCTAAATCCTAGGAAGTAAGAAAACGTGTTGATTTACCACGAAGAATATCGTTTTCCTAGTATTTGCCAAAGTGCCATGACTGATTCACACGTGCAAACCGAGACGGCGTGACCTGTTGTTACATCAAGTTCGTGTCTAGGTCATAGGAGGAAACAAAGAGTGTTTGTTTACGAACAATATCGTTTTCCTAGAATTGCCAAAGTGCCATGCACGGGACTGTTTCACACACATAAACCGTGACTGGGTGATCGATTTTTCATCAAGTTCATGTTTCGCTCCTATAGGAGACAAAGCGAATGTTGCTTTACGGGTATAGTCGATATTGTTTTCCCATTAAGCAATACGTTTATGTTTTTCCGCAGCATCCGGGGCTGCCGTTGCCTCTGTGCCATGCACGAGACTGATTCACACATAAAACGACAGGGTGTGATCTGATTTTTCACCAATTGGCGTCTAGCGCCTAGGTCTACAAAGCGAATGTTGGTTTACGGTCACACTCGACATAATTCTCCTACTAAGGAATAGGTTTATGTTTATTCGCGGAGTTCGCCCTGCCGTTGCCCGTGTGCCATGCCCGGGACTGATTTACACGCATGAAGCGAGACGGGGCGTGATTTGAAGTGTCATCAAATTCGTGTTTAGGCCCTAGGGGAAAGAGCGTGTTGGTTTACGAACAATATCTTTTTCCTGACACGGCTATAGATTACCCAGAATTGTAATCCAGTTTTAAGTTTGGTCTATATATTTCTCTCACGAATGCTAACAACTACTAAGTATCAGGTATGAACAATGAATCTTTTACGACTCACCCTTACATTTGTCGCGCTATAAGTGAGCTCCGCTACTATCCTAGAGACCAATTTGCAGCAGTATTCTGCCAATCGTTCGGCCTGTTTGATTTCGCCGTGATCATGAGGTTGGCCACACTGACGCGTCATCATCTGCTTCTTGATGGGAATCGTCACCACATCCAGCAGTTTGGGTATCACATCAAGCAAATGCCATTCCGTGTGACTAGACTTTGTTTCCGTAGGATCTGGCTGCTGGGTGAATAATGTTGTCATGAGTTTCAAAGCCTTTATCAAATACACAAAAAATATTATTAAAGGTAGGATTAACTTACCTTTTGTGCTTCTTTGTTATTCGATCTAGGTGGTATTGGTGGAGGCTTGTTTGAGGATCGCGGCACTGTCGCCGATTTTGAAGGAACTTCCTTGGTTATCTGCCAAATAGACTCGATTTTACGATAAACATATTTTAACTATGTCAATTAACAAAAAAGACACTGAATTTCTGAAAAATAAATTCACGACACTAGTTTTCTAAAAACTCAACTTACTTTGCTTTCCGGTTTCTTATACTCATTCATAGCGCTTTGTGTGACCGGCACAATGAATTGCAATACATCGCGAAGACTTCGCGATGCGCACATAGCAGCACAAGTCGACGTCAGTTCCCTGACTTGAGACGCTGGCACGACCCCATCCTAGCAAATAAAAACAAAAGTCAAGAGCTTATCAATGTATATGCCAATAAAATAAGAAAGTGTCTTACTTTCACGTGAAACAACAAAGAGCACAGATGGTTCCACTTGAGCGATGGCGTCGGAAAGAATGCGTGGAAACACGCCGTTATCGTGTTGTGAGCTTCTTTCAATATAGCATTTGTCATCTCCAAAGCAAACTGCACATAACACACCCTGTGCGTTTTATTCTTGCCTCTCCGAGGAAGCATGTTACAGGAGGGCGTCTTATCGGCCATTATCAGTTGGATCAGATTTCGTATGTCCGCAATAGCTTCGAAGTACGACATGTATTCGTGCGAGTTCCTCTTCTTATTGTTCTGTGGGTATATTTCGTTAATATAGGATTTAACAAGTCTAAGACACGCTCGGATCACGTACACCAGTCTCTTCTGATGTTTCATCACTGTTAACTTTTGGTAATTAATAGGGATTTGGCCGTTCGTTTCTAGTATTACTTCTTTGAAGGTAGTCCAACTCCACTGTAGGAGAGTTATTAATGAATGAAAGCAGGAGACGGTGACCATTCTGGATATGTTCTTGGATAGTACTATGACAGGGTCTCCTGGTTCGATGCGTTTGATGGGGATGCTATGGTCGGGGTTCATGAGATTATATAAGAGGCAAGGTATTTGTCCCGCATTGACGTCGGTGCCGTTATTGGACTTCTTGGAGGTCTTGAAATGGAATCCGATGTCATCGTTGATAACCATGGCCTGGCCGGACGACCCACAGTCCGAAGAAGGGCCGTTTATACATGCCCACGCGACGTACCACCTGTTTGCCTGTGAATTAACATTTGTTTCATTTTTTGACGCCATATTGTGAAATTTTGTATTAAATTTATAAAATCGAAATCAAGCTTATTCAACTATTTCAATTATTTCGGTACATTCTAATTAGAATGCAGAATAAAGTGGATTGTTTTGGCGAATTCGCCAAAACAATCCATTTAACTCAAAAATCTATTAACATTACTCGTAAAAGTATTCCTGGACAGACAGATAAGATAGCATTGAATGTTTATACCATTTCATAGAACATATTAAGCTAAGATAATAAACTCACAACTAGCGGTAGGGGCGCTTCAAACAGTATCGGGAATCGATCCCTCGGCGCGCACTCGAACATAACCTCCTCGCTTTCAGCCATTAATTCCCCGTCGCCCTCTTGGTCGCCCCCTTCACATCCGATATCGAAAAGTTTTATCTTCGCCGTATAGTCACCACGTCCACCGAATAGCGCAAAACCACCTGATTGTGAGAAAAATAGATCATAATAGGGATGATGATAGGATTAAATAAAAGAAAATCTATTTAGTCTTCGTTTGTTGCTTATCAAAAAATAATGGACTCCTTATTTTTTCTTTTCTCAATCAACCAAAATATAACAAAGATAAAGCGCATCAAACTTTGGGAGTGGAGGCTCGTAATGTTCCTACTAAGTAAAAATTGCACCAAGACGTGACCTCATGCTACATTTCAAATCTATTCAAATTAATTCAATTCAATATATTTATTGTTTCATGTGGTAATTACAAGTTCTTAGATTTAGAGTTGGATCCAAACATGAACCCTGTAAGGGCACTACAATATCAATATACATAAAATAAACAAAATACACATAATTATAATCAATCACATTAAAATTTTAGATTACAAGTACCAGCTACCTTTCAACAAAAAATTCTTGCATACTATAGAAGGTTTTATTCAATAAATATTGTTTCACAATTTGTGCAAACTTTTTAACGTTTTGTTCTACGGTTATATATTTAGGTAATTTGTTATAAATTTTAATTGCGTTTATTTGTGGACCTAAACTATGGATTTTAAGACTTGAGGCTAAATTATCTTTGTATCTCAAAGGACAATGTTAAAATTGGCCTAAGAACCAACACCAATTTGGCATTTATGATAATTCTTAGTATATTTTTGGCGATAATAGTCAGTATTTAGATTGTGACGGACACTTCCAGTTAAGTAAGCTAAATTAAAAAGTTAATAAATAATCTGAGACAATAAATACCATTTTATGTGTATAATCTATGGCAGCGCTGCAAACAAAACACTCTTTTTTCCTAATGCCGGCACTTCACTTCGCTATGCGTATTTGCTATTTTAAAACATGACATCAGTGTGGCCTTTTCATTCCTTATTAAGCATGACAAGGACAAACTGTTGTCAAGTGAAGGGCCGGCATAAAACGCGTTACTCTGTGGTTGTGGGGTTGCAGTTTGCATTCGTAGTAATCTGTGGCTTTCGTGCATTCCAAAGAGTAGTTTACAAAAAATATTTTGTAATATACCGGAAAGTGCATTCTCGTTTCGGATTACCCGTTGTATGTGTTTATTTCCAATGGTTTTCCTTTAATTTAACTATTTCGGCTATCTAACTATTTTGGCTATGCCATCGATGTTACCAAAGAGCAGAGCCCTTATTACCAAGTGCTAGTGAACCTGTGCCACAACATCCTGAGAGGATCATACTGACAAATTATTCAAGAACACTTGATAGACATTCACGCTGCATATTTACACAATATACATGTGATATACAAATAAATACAATATACAATATGATAAAATTATGTGAAAAATAGTCAATAAATAAGAAGCAAAACTACAGTTTTTATTTTATTCATGATTCCTACCTAACCAAGTTTTTCCTAATAGTTATTCTATAAAATCGCACCGAATAAAATGAATTAGTTGTAATATTAATTCACTTCATACTGAGTTCATACTAAATTCAGAGGTTGGTCTATGTTTCATTGAATATTAAACATAACCTCAAAGAAAATATGTTTTCCTAATAGTTTAAGTTCTCAGAAGTGTCCGTTAGTAATCTTTGTTTTTACAGTCATTTACTTACGATTTTGAACCTAGAAAATAATATTTCATGATTGTTGGTTCTTAGGCTAACTATGTATGGACGCTGAACAATGTCCTTTATAGATGTACTAGAACAGTCCTGTTTTTGGGGAAATAATGGAGGATTTTGTTTTACAAAGTTACAAATTTCAAAAATATAGAGTGAAGTGAGAGTTAGGATTTATAGTTCAGCAAAATGTGATCGGCAGCTTTCCATTTTGTCCACATTATTTAAAATTCGTACTCATCTTTTTTGTAATAAAAATATTTTTTGAACATCAGTGCTGTTTCCCCAGAGTGTTATACCATAACTCATCCAAGCATGGGCGTAGGCATAGTAAGCGGCTAATGCTGTCTTTAGATCACTCGATATTTTTAGGTGGTACAATGCGTAAGTAAAGCTGGACAACTTTCTAGTCAAATTTGGCAGGTGATTTTTCCAATTTATGTTTGTGTCAATATTGATACCTAATAAAGTTGCACTATCTACACATTCCAATTTAAACATCTCATGCAAGTAATCTATTTGTAAAGCCCTTTTTTGGTAAGGTCGGAATTGTAGTATTTTTGTTATTTTGAAGTTTATAATTAGATTGTGATCGTGAAGCCAGTTTTTAATATTATTTATAATTTCATTAAATTTTTATATACTTCTGTTATATTTGTGCTTGAGAATACTACAGATACGTCATCAGCAAATAATACACTTTTGTGGTTAATGATTTTTGGAAGATCGTTAATATAGATTATAAACAGGATACAACCTAGGATGCTTCCTTGAGGAATGGACATTTTTACTTCAGCTTTTTTTGATCGCACATTTGTGATTAAACCCTTTTCATAGTTATAATGTTCTATTTCTACGTATTGTGACCTGTTTTCTAAGTAGGAAGCAAACCACCTGTAAGCAACACCTCTTACGCCAATGCTATATAGTTTTTTTTTAAAGTATTTTATAGGAAACCCGATCGTAGGCTTTGCTCAAGTCCAATAAAACCCCCACAGCATATTTTTTGTTATTAATGATAATTAGATATATCTCTGTATTTTTTTTTAATTATGAGTATAGAGAAAAAATGCGTGTCTAATACTTTTTGATAATCTACCTGATAGCAGTGTTGGGCGTAATTAATTACTTTTGTAATTTAAGCGATGTGTTGTTCATGTAAAAATATATTGATTATGTATTTTTAGAAATAAATAAAAAGAAAAAAACTAATTCAATGAATAGTAATTGAATTACTTTAATTAAAATTATATGTATTTGAAATTACTGTAATTCAATTACTTACGTCCGAAGTAATTTAAATTACATTGGTTTGTAATTCAAATTACTCAATTACTTTTTGAGGGTAACATAATAAACTACTAAAATTGAGCGATTATTAGCTTGATGCCCGTACGCAGCACAACAAGCACAACACAAACAAAGTTTTAGTGTATAATTTGACATGAATTTATGACTGTGTAAGTGTGTGCCTCGTTACCAGTACCTACTACTACACTACCTATCCCTTTTCTAGTCTCTCGGCGGCGTGCACCTTTATTTCGATTGATTGTTCTCAAATGCTACAATGATTAACTTACCAAAATCTTACATACTTTCTCTAGATATTTATATAAAATGTTTGAACAAAGAGTAGTATTAATGTGTAATTTAAAATAAATTAAACATTTATTGTCTTAATTTTAAAAAAGGTGGTTATAATTACACAATTTATCTGATCTATTTCGTAAATAAACATTTGATAAATCATAATATAATAGTTTTATTTAAAATACTATCTCGTCTTTAAAAGAGATTATATATAAGTAATTGAGTAATTGCAATTAACAATTACAATTGCTAATTGTTAATTGAATTACATTTCAATAATTTCAAGTAATTTGTAATTAAAGTCACCAATTACAATTTGTAATTGAAATTAATTACATTTTGCCCAACATTGCCTGATAGGCATAGAAAAAAATGTCATCACCCATAATTTTAACGCCATCTACCATAAAATAAGAAAATCACATGAACGTTCCCCCAGCATCATCTCTTCTAGACTAATTAGAGCTCGGCATTTGCGAAGACAGTGACGCATTGTTAAAGAAAAAAAAAGAAAGGGGCGTCTTCCCCATCTTTTTCCTTTTTTTGCAAAGCGACATTGGAGCCATTTTTATTGATCCGTAATCCATCCATCCATCGCATCCCCAATGCCGCTTTGTATTTCCAATAATTTTCATAGTTATCTCGTTAATATACCGCCGCGGGGCAAAGGTTTCATAAGTGATTGTCAAACAAGTATAAACGAAGTTTCGGCAGATATTTGGAATTGGACAGACTGTCGCCATCGCCCTGAACGCCAGCATCAACAAACAAGGAGCCTTTTAGGTTTGAAGTCAAAGGCCATTTCATCTTAATTTATTCCTTATGAATTCCCATTTTTTGTTTTCTTGCAATATTTCAGTATTGCGAGGAAACTACAACTGATCAATAAGTACATTGTAAATTAATAGACAATCTACGTGGATAATATAGAAGGAAGCTACGTTATTCTTTACCTAAACCTAACAGTATAGAACTAACAGCTGAGTAATATAATCAGAATAATCAAAGTAAAACTCACCTAACAAAATGTCCGTATCGCACATGAAGCGTATCGCCTCCACAGAGTGGCCGGAATATCCCCAACCGCCCCCGTGATTCTCGAATCGGTTCACTGTAAGATAATCCTCTTTCACAGGTGGTACTGGTGACGAAGCACTTTCCCTTTTACATTCGACTTGATTCAGCCTAGAAAAGAAAGTTTAATTCAGTCATTTATTGTCGATATGAAACAATAATAAATATTATTATATTTATTAAAATACATACTTAGTGTCGTGAGCGTAAGTGAGCGAGTCCAAGCAGCCTAACAAATGTAAGGCCGCATGCATTCTAGTGACAGTACACCCAGGTGTAGACGGAATCGCCAACTCTTGGTTCAAAACCGACATGTTAGATAACGCCACGTTCTCCGGCGGTTTGTCGTCGTACAAAATTGTCGTTTCTAACACTTGAAGATTCTTGAATTCGTCTAGTCGTTTCATAGAACCGTAGTTGGGGTATTCGAAGTCCTTGTCGGAGGGGAACGATTCTGGTTCGTTGTTGCAGCATCTGTGTTGTTTGTGGGAGTCGAAAGCTAGTATGTTGTAGCATTTCATCACTCTCATTTGAGGTTGGTAGCACCATAGAACGTCGTACAAGGGGTCTAAGCAGGCGAGAGTGTTGACGAAATCCACTTGTTCGGAACCAGACCAAGCGTTGCAAGTACCGTCCGCTTTATTTATAGTGATGCATTTGAATGTGTGCTCTGGTCTATTCGGTAGTATGACTGTAAAAGTGAATTGTAAAAAAAATGTTATCGTAATAAATTTAATGTAATTGCGTACTAATATAGAATTAATTCGCAGGATTAAAAGATGCATATATTTTAATGTTAAGAGTTAAATCATCGTCGTTATCAAGATCAGAAAGCATAAACTTAAAGCATATAAATTGTGTAAAAGAAACCGAATGGAACAAACCACAAATAAACATCGCGACGCTGATCACTTAATATCAGGCGGCGCATCCGCTCCGTCTGCCTTCGAAGGCAATAAAAAAATATTATGAAAACATTCCCTACCGTCTTAAAAATAAGCCACAACAACGTTTCATGTATTGATAACCCCTTTTTATTTATTGCAATACTTAAGGGTAATAGATACACATTCTGTCACTATACATCTACTAATAAACACAGCTCAAACACAGACAAACGGACAACGTTGCTGATGCCGTTGACGGTGAACACTGAACAGCGTGTCGGTCTTGATGAGAGCCTGCGAAAGCTGGACGAAGGTCTGGTCTCCGGAGTCTAAGTCCGGGGCCGGAACGAATGATGCGGGTTATGGGACGAGAGACAGACTGACCTATAGAGTTGCCGATGGCGGTGACGGTGGCACTGAACAGCGAGTCGGTCTTGATGAGGGCCTGCGAGAGCTGCACGACGGTCTGGTCTCTAGAACATTAGGCTACGGCTTGCACGAGTACTGCGGGTTATAGGACGACAGACATACCGACCTATAGAGTTGCCGTTGGCGGTGACGGTGGCACTGAAGAGCGTGTCGGTCTTAATGAGGGACTGTGAGAGCTGCATAAAGGTCTGGTCTCCGGAGGCGGTAACCCACACTGCCTTGCACGAATATCTTGGCCCCAAGCGAGGCACTCGGCCAGGCGTCGCATACCATACGGGGCTGCGTTCGTTGCGAGACGGCTCGTCAATACGAGGCCTCCCGAGAGAACCTTTCTGTTAGGAAAAAATGCGATAATAGTAATTAATACTTGAGCAATCTCAAACATGTTAATGGTGTAATTAAACATATTTCTAATGTATTACTATACAATAATATTAGTTGTTATTCTTTAAATAAACTTCAATAATGCAAAAATCTCACACCGGTCCATGAGCATAATGTGAAGACAGAAAGAGTGTAGAAGGTACGAACGATTTTCCTCCCCTATTAATATATTTAATATAATACAATAACAAAATAAGCCCCCCTTCTAATAGAAAGCGCACATTGAGTCACTAATCGCGGCCACTATACGTGACCACTAGTTGCTCAGTCAAGCCAATAGACGCAGCCACCAATCGAAGACGCTAGTGGCCGCCACTAACCCACTAGTTTAGTGCGCACACGCAATTAGTGGCTCAATGTGCGCTTGCTCTTATAGCCCTTACTGACCTGATAGCATCCGAACGTATACAACTCGCCTTCCCTAGTAAGCACGGCGGTGTGATGGCTGCCAGCAGCGACGGAAGAAGCACGCGGCACCCGCACACGCACGATGCGATGGTGTGGGGAAATATCACCGGCCCCCAGCTGCCCGTACTGGTTCGATCCGAACGTGAGCACCTCGCCTGGTACGAACACGTTATATGATACTACATACACATGTCAACAGGTAATGTAATGTCACGCCGCACCAGCACTCGTATGATGCGATGGTGTGGGGAAACATCACCGCCCCCAGCTGCCCGTACTGGTTCGATCCGAACGTGAGCATCTCGGCTGGTACGGACATGATATATGATACTACATATACATGTCAATAGGTAATGTATTGTCACGCGGCACCAGCACTCGTACGATGCGATGGTGTAGGGAAACATCACCCGCCCGTACTGGTCCGAGCGGAACGTGAGCACCTCGGCTGATACGAACATGATATAATGATACTACGTATACATGTCAATAGGTAATGTATTGTCACGCGGCACCAGCACTCGTACGATGCGATGGTGTGGGGAAACATCACCCGCCACCAGCTGCCCGTACTGATTCAAGCCGAACACGTGATATGTTTGGAGATGTGAATCAGTAATATTGGCTGCCAACAATTATTTCTGTTGGGCAGAATAATAAAATCGCTAATATTAATGTTGAATACAGGTACCAACAAATGGTACTTTATTTTTCATACAAACGAGTATGTAATATTTTTGTAAACCTTTTTATTTGCGTGATATTACTAACAGCTTTAATGATTATAGCAATCAGGCTCCCAACTAAGTGGATAGAAATGTTCTGGTTCAAACTTTCATACTTTTCATGAAGAAATAGAACTAAGGCCTTGATTTCATGAAGAATATTAGATGACCTGGCGAACTTCGTGTCGCCTAACAGTCGATAAATGTGGCTAATTTGAAGAAAAAGGATACAGTGAGTCAAAATTAAAAGATGGACATAATTATAATAATAATAATATTTATTTCACAAGCCAGTTTTACAAGAATCGTACAACACAATAATATACAGTATAGCTTAGAATAAACATTTATAAACATTTATAGTATCCTCTGTGCCTGTACTAGGTTATAAAAATACCTGTATCACAGACACAGCGCTCATCCCTAAGGACCACTTATACAACCTTTATGTAAGGAAAAAAATACAATTCTTGTGTTAGCTTAACAAAGTTAAATCAAAATATTATTTAAGTAAAAGAAATTAATTATTTATGTGTTTATCGAACCTCCTTTTGTGTGAAGTGAATGTGTGTGTGTAGGAGGGTGTGTGAAGATTGGACTTTATATGTCGAGTATAATATTAGTAAAGCTAATATTAAGATTATGATACTTGGAAAGTTAAAAGTATATACATGAAATACACAATTTACAACTAAGATTGGATTTTGAAAAGGTTTACAAACTTTGGATTTACACTGTGCTTTGTTGAGGGGATATATATTTAAAATTTTATTTATTTGATTGTAAATGTAGGGGCCAATGAAATATGTGAATTTATGCATGTATGAATGTTTAAAGGACGGTATAACACAAACTTTATAGCCGCGTCTAGTACTGATGTAGTTTTGGTCGTATGATGTAACTGAGTGTTGTTTTAATATACAAGCTAAGATAAAAATCTGTCGCACAGTTAAGACGTCACAAGACTGATACAAAAGCTGCGTTGGGAAAAGAATAGGTTCAAAAGTAGAAACTTTCAGAATTGCCCTTTGGGTTATTTCAAGTTTAATTAAAGTGGAATTATCAGTCCCACCCCAGCAAGATACACAATATTGATTCGACCAGCGCATAGTATATCTGTTTCACAATTTTGGCGTCCGCAATGTGTCGAATTTTTTTAAATATATATAGAAGTTTCCGTAACCTACTATTTAATAATTCTATATGGGCCTTAAAGTTCATATTGGCATCAAGCGTTATGCCCAGATACTTTATTGTGCCCGTTTTATTTATTATAGGACACACAAACGCTTGTTCAGCTTGGTTATTACAGCTATGAAAATGCAAATTAAAAGGGTCAGTTACTTTTGATGAGTCACGAGCCGAAAAGTTTATGAATTTTGTTTTATCAAAATTTAGTGTCAAATAATTATTCCTTAGCCACTTGAAAACTGTATTGAAACCCATTTGAGACCTGTCGTAAACCTCCGTCCCAATATCTGCTCAGAATAGAAGAGCAGTATCATCAGCATATGAAACTATTTTGCCCTGATGAAGTTGTAAGTTACACAGATCGTTCACATATACCAGGAAAAGCGTAGGACCCAGAACACTACCCTGAGGTTCACCAAAGGAAACAGGCAAGTCGTCACTAATGTGTTGGTCTATTCTAACACATTGTGTTCGCCCTGACAAACAGTCGGAAAAAAGTTTTAATTCCGTACCTCGTACTCCAAGGGACTCAAGCTTGGACAAAAGCCTTGGTATAGGGACGGTATCAAAGGCTTTGGCTAGATCTAGGAAAATACCTATCGACTTTTTGCCTTCGTCCATATTTTTAACTATCCGATCTGTAAGTTCGAACACAGCGTCTTCTGCAGATTTTCCAGAACGAAAGCCAAATTGGTTATTAGACAATAGTTTATAATGCTCAAGATATCGAGTTAGCCTGTTGTTAATTAGCTTTTCGAGTATTTTAGAAATCGCTGGAAGCAGGGAAATGGACCTATAGTTATCAATACGATCCTGTTACCTGACTTATGTATTGGATGGATGACTGATTTCTTCAACACGTCTGGAAATATACCATTTTTTAGACAGACCTGGAACATATGTGTCAAGGGCAAAATAAGAATATCCTTAAATTCTTTGAGTACTCTGTTTGATATGAGATCCCATCCTACAGAAGACGTATTTTTCAGACCCATAATCAAGTCTTCAATCTCTACTGGATCAGTATCTAGCAGCACGAAGGAGTCCTTATGAGGCGTGACATTTATTGGACTTGTAGCTTTATTGGGATTATTGAGAAATCTTGAGGCCAAATTACAACCTATGTTCGCAAAATAGTTATTAATTTTGTTAATAGAATATACCGTCTCCGAAGAAGTTAATAATTCACTTGCATGATTTTTATTTTTTGTAGTGTGAGTAGCCTTTTTGATAGCATCCCATAGTTTTTTTGAATTATTACCCGCTTTTTTAATTTCATTCCTTTCATAAATATTTTTGGCTTTTTTGATTATATTAGTACAATAATTTCTATATCTTGTGTATGTAATTTTAAGTATAATGTTCTCCGGGTTCTTTTTTAATTTTTTATGCATCATATCACGATTTCTAAGACATTTAAGAATGCCTGGTGTTATCCACGGCTTAATCAAACGTCGTCTACATGCCACATTTACCACAATTGAATTCGAGATAATAGCTTGTCGAATACTTGACAAAAAGTATTGCATTGAGGAGTTCACATCAGGTGAAGAGAAAATTATGCTAAAATCTATGTTTTTTATGTCACACCTTAGTTTATTAAAATTAATTTTGGTTGATTTTCTATGGTTTTGTACTTTAGGTGATTTTAATTGAAGACATAGCAAAACCGCCTGATGATCCGTAACCGTGCTGTTTAGTACTAATGTATTTGCTTTTCTATGGGTTTTTAAAATAACATGGTCAAGACATGCTAGTTCACGCGTTGGCAAGATATGGGCAGGCAAAAGACCATGAAACGCAGTCAAATTCAGGTATTCATTAGCGGAATTATCTAAGTTCTGCTGCAAAATATTTATATTAACGTCACCGATAATAGCAATATTTTTGAACGAATTAAGGTCAGTAAGAACAAGATTCAGAGATTGTAGAAATGGACCGACGTTTTTATAAGAAGGCGATCTATACATTGCAATTAATGCAGTTTCAGAACCAAATTTAAGAACTAAGCTATTAGAATCAGGTATATCAGGTTCCTCTATGACTATACTTATATAAGACTTAATGTATATAACCACGCCCTCATTTTGGTTTTTATTTTTAGTGCTTTCATAACAAGAATAACCTTCCATTTTTGGTAAAATGGGATTACAAGATAACCAGCACTCTGTTAACACAAGTAAGTCACATTGAAAGCTCAGTCTATGAATCAAAGTGACTAGTGCATCGAAATTTCTATTAATACTTCTGATATTTTGAGTTATTATGGTGAGGTATTTAATTATATTAATGCATTCTTCAATATCACATACCTGAGAGTTAGAAACTGAAATGTTGTCTATATCTTCAATAATGTTTTCATCCATAATGAGAAGACACAAAATGCAATAGGATCAATTTGGGTAATATAGCATGAGTACATATATCTACAAATACACAAATTATGATGCAGAAATTTTTTTTTTTTGGAAAAGTAACACAATGTTTTAGTTTGTATATAATAGGTAAATATCATGTCTTTGTTTATAATATATAACGCGAAGCGATGGGTTATGTGTAAAGTGTGATATAGTTTATTAAAACAAACAAAAGAGAAAAACGAAAAAATCATTGCAGAATTTAACGATAATTCAGGGTTTAGTCAGATACTTTCAGCATTTTTTAACTTTGTCAGATCTGCTTCTGCATTAATACGTATTTGAGGTGCGCCTTCTTTTTTACTAAGTAAATTTTACCATAGGATGTCCAACAGTAACCATATTCAAATGTTTTCGCAAAATCGCGAGACAAGTAGAATAATAGTCTTCTCGCTCTTGCAGTAAGACACTCAGCCAAAAAAAACTGTTTCAGTTCTCCTTCAAGTTTTAGTCGCGAGGTGTTGAGAGAATTGGGGTCAGACTTTCTCAGCTTCTTCGCGAGCATTAGCAATTTTTCCTTGTGTAGGACAGATGAGAACTCCACAATAATAGGTTTAATCTTATCTGGTTTAGCGAAACCTCGATATACATCGCGGAAATCTGATTTTTGCAGTTGTAGATCAAGGATGTTGCCGATATTTTGTACCAGGTTAAGAAGCACTTCTTTGTTCTCCTTTAGTAAAACTGGGACATTCCGTATTTCTATTTTGCTAGAAGACACGTTTCTCTCAATATTTTCAATCTTATTTCCTAAATTCTCTATGTAAGACCAGTTTTCCCTACGTTATTCTTTTAGTTTTTCGATTTCCCTGTGTAGTTCATCATATTTTTCAGAGATCATGTCGATAAAAGTTTGAGTATTACTATTTTGTTCCTTTATTTCCATTATAGTTTCTTGAAGAGTTTGCAATTCTGAGTTTTGGTCCGAAACAAAGTTTGCAAACATAGTACGCATTTCAGCAATAAATTCCTG